CTCCTCATCGAATACACTTACTTGTATGTTGTACTCTAGGACTTGTATTTGACCTAAAGATGAATGATGGAATAGTGTAATTTACTTCTGTACATAAATTTTGTCTCACTGTATTTCAATGGGCGGCTTTTAAAAGTTAAAACTGCAAGCGTAATACACACAAATAACGTAACACTGTGTCGTATTTACTTAACGTAGGGCAGTTGCGCTATATCCTAGGGTAGGGCATAATTATTCATTAAGAGGCATTATAGGCCAGAGAAAATTTTGCGCCCCTTCACACCAGCGCCCGTGGGCGACTGCCCCTTGCCCCCTCTTGCTATGCCACTGAATACAGATGACCGGTAGTGTACATGTAATCATTTCAAAATTTGTGAATGTTCAGAAAAGGTACTAAAAATGATAACGCAGTGAAACAATAATTGGAAATCAGTTTTTTATAGTGTAACTAGCACTAGATGGAAGAAACACTATACTACCATGATCAACGACTTTTCAATAGGACAGAAGACTGGAAGGCAGAAAATAAAGACTCAAAAGATGCCTGTAAGATGTCCTTGATAAATAAGGAACTCCTAACCTATCCTAGAAACTATAATTTCTAGCCACTAATTTTCTTATGGATAAAAAATGAAAAGTTTTAAAAAAACTTTATGTTAACACTGAAATGTTGCCCTACCTTTCTCACAGTCTGTGTTATCTTTGTAATCGCACTCTTTCTTCATTTTGTTGAAAAGTAGTCCTACCGGGCATGACATAGTGTAAGGGATATTGTTGGAACATTGTATAAACCAGGAGCAATCTGGTTCATACGGGAAAAGGCCTTCTGTGGTTGAGCACCTATAATTATCTGGGATAGGAGGCCTGGTGGGGCACGTGACATGCTCCGCGTGGTCGCAGGACTGTATTTCCTGATTGAACAAAAGACCATCAGAACAGTTTTTAGAAAAACCTATTTTGTCCACGCACGAGAGATAGCGACCGCAGTCCACTCTGCTAGCAATCATACAACACTCACATGGGCAAGGATAAGTTGTAAAGTTTGATGTTGCAAAGCTCATCAACAAAATGCAATTGGTCACTGAAAATAAAGACACCGAAAAGACATGTTACAACAATACTTTAACACACTATTGTGTTACCGTTTAAACAAGACTTCTACTTCTAACACTATTATGCTACCGTTTAAACAAGACTTCTACTTCTAACACTATTATGCTACCGTTTAAACAAGACTTCTACTTCTAACTCATTATGTTACCGTTTAAACAAGGCTTCTACTTCTAACACTATTATGTTACCGTTTAAACAAGACTTCTACTTCTAACACTATTGTGTTATCGTTTAAAGAAGACTTCTACTTCTAACACTATTATCTTACCGTTTAAACAAGACTTCTATATCTAACACTATTATCTTACTGTTTAAACAAGACTTCTACTTCTAACCACAAAACGTTATTCTATTTTATTCTTTACACCTCATTGATCTCATTTACATTTTACAATACACTTTAGGATATTATCCTTAAAACCCTTGTAATTTTAATACCCATGTAAGTTAATTTATTTTAAACCTTATTCATCTTGATATTTATAATTTTTCAAACCCAAAAGATCTACCTGATCACGTTTATAAAACGTATAATGGCGTTTGTGTTTGATTCACACAGAAACCTCAACTCACTCACTGATTGTATTAACATTATTAAACATTGTTTTGTTACTGTGCAAGAAATTCATAAGAGTCGTCTACTATTGTTATTGTGTTTAAAACCATAATGATGCATTTACTATTCCAAAGCAAATCATTGCGTTATAAAACTCTAGACATTCCGCTGCCACCTATATAAATATCATGAGTCATAATATTTCTGCTAGTGGACAGTAACGCATTTTTTTCATTAACATTTATCAGACCCAGATAATCCTGGTTCTATCCTATAACAAATATTGAATAATTATGTTTAAATTCCTAGTAAATCCACAATACTCTAGCATTACATTTCAGATCAGTGATTCAGCGAATATCTCACAAAATACTTTTGTTACTACGTCTAAACGCAACGTAATTCTGTTACTATCCCATGACAAGCGTTTTTATGTTTTCTATTTTAATCTGGTATTTTTTTACTTATAACATATTATTATAATTGCCTTTTTTAATTCTCTTCTTCAACAAATAATTATTGGACGCCCTAAAATAGAAAGTAAAGAGCCTTTACGGCTGAAGGATAGCCAATTCTAATTTGATGACAGAAGTTATTTTCTTCGTCGTTATCCTTTTATTTCTGAGCTACAGTTAAATAGCAGTGTAAAACAGTGCCGCTCTTGTGGTCGAAAGTTTAGGGATCAATTTCCTTAAATAACATGCATTTTAATCACCTTTTAAGCATACGAAAATCTGTAAATTAGGATAACGGATAAAAAGATTAAATTATTGATAATGTGTGAGTGTCCTACATTGATGATAAAAGCAAATATGTTCATAAATTATAAGTGAAACTAACTCACCCACTCCGATAAAACGAAGTTCAATGATCTGCTTTAGTGACATCTTGTTAACTTTTTCTGCACGATTTTCCTCTCATAGAAAGATGGATATAACTTTGATACAGTAACTTTCACCCTTTTATATTGTAGATGTTAGTTATCACGTTATTATCGTGCGTGAAAATATGTCTGGTTATCACTGGCAAATAAGAAATTTGATTCTGAATGAGACGAATTTTAAAAAATCATTATTCTGAACTAAGTGAAGTGATATGCAAATAGAACGAACTGCTTACGTCAATGATATATATTTTATTTAACACAGGTACACGCACAAATAGATTAAATCATTTATTTACTTACGATAAGATCGAAAGGTTCTCGAGATATATGCAATCCAAATTTCTTTTGTTGATTTGAGGACAGACTTCATTAAAAACATTGTACTTTTTCTTTGTCTGGTATTATTAACAGATAAAAAAAACTTCCAGATTTTACTCGAATAAATTGTTTAAAAATATTTGCCAAATTAATATGGTAATAAAGTTAGTGAAGTAAATAAGTTTGACCCAAAATATTTACAACTAAATTTAATTATCATTTTATAAGAAAAAAGTAATATGATTTGTTTGTTTGTAGTTATGCTCACCACGGGTATCGCTCTTCAACAGGTGCAAAGAAAAGGCGGATATAAATATTTTTAGTAGACATTTTGTACAACATATTAAAAGCTTATCAAAATCTAAAAAAAAAAACTAACCTTAGGTCATAGAATAACATTACAAATGTAATGATAGTATTAAGTACAATAAAGTTGAGTCCTAACTAAACAAAAGCAAAAAAACGTCCACAAGTTATAGTGTTAATTTATCTCTTTTATCGAATATAAGCCATACTTAAAAAAGGCTTAACTTATGTTAGATCTTAGACAAGTGCATTTATAAATTTATTTTGTATTATTCTAGAAATCCTGTATTTTAAGAAGAACTTTTGAATAAAGATACTAGTTTGACTGCAAATGTTTTGCAGGTCTGTGTTGGTCTATATATAGTTCAAAACGTAGTTTCTAAATACTTCTATGCTACAATAATTTTAGTATATCTTTCCACTTGTAATATATTTTAATTTTACATAACCTTTGTATAGATTTCATAAGTTTAACTATATTTTAGCTTCACCTTTTCCCTCGTTTTCTTATATATGTACATAAACATGTGCTGCTGAATTCCAGTGCTGGTCCTAGCTATCATAAGGCTTTGTACAACGTGTGAGACCCCTCATGGTATTCGATAACAATCAAATATTAAAATAACTAATTATAGTAAAAATATTTTAATAGTAGCAAACATATCTGTTTAATGCATGGATCTTGAGTGACTAGTGAAAAAAGGGGACACTGTTCTGTCAAAAACAAAATCCATTTGTTGAAAATCAGAAGTCTGCTACCTCATTCTTTCCACAAATTTTAGGAGAAGGCAAGCACACATAAAAATAGATATTATTACTTTATTTACATACTACCGCCATACATCATTTATAAAAACATTCAAAACATCTGTACACATTATATTTTAGACGAATTTTACTCAAATTGTACAACAGAACAATGTTGTACATTCATTAGGTCAACCACATTAGTCCACTGGCTTAGGGCCAAATTTTAATGAGATAGTGACACACACTGGATTAAAGCATCAAACTTTGCACAAATGATATTTAGGTCCATAGCAAACATTCTGAAGAGGGTTTCCCGGGCTGGGTGGCCTAGATCAAGGTCAGGTGAAGGTCAAAGGTCACATAGTAAACTATGAAACTGCATATTGTGGTCGTCGTTTCCAGTCTAATTGTGTATTTCAGTTGGCCTGATACCAGCAGGAATATTGACGAGAGGACATGTATAACTACAAACATTTTCCTCTATTTTCAGTTTGATGAATGCAGCTCCTAAGACAGGTATAACAGACTGGGAAAAGTGCAATTATCTGTGGAGGTGGTGATGACTCAAAATGCCTGGCAGACAGATTGGATGACAAAGGAATTAATTCCTATGATGAGTTTCTGCAGAACGTAGAGGGATTCTTACAACTTCAGTCACTTCCTGTTGAGTTAGTTTGTACTGAACTGGACACTATTGCAACACCATGCGAAATGGCATAAATCATATCGACTCAGCTTTTTAACTCCAAGTTGGAAAGGATGTGAGAGTGACATGGAAACAACAAAAAAAAGTAATGGTTGCGAACAGGTTGAGAGGAAGTCTAAACGACAATCTCAAAAAGGATTTATCAGAGACTGCATTTTTTTGTAGAAAAACTCGGGGTACGTTGAATACTTTCTTTACTTCGGAACTAGATAAGAGCGTGAGAGAGATGGTTACAAACTGGAAGATAATGTTGCAGGAGGTGAACTGGTAGCAATCAAAGCTAAATATCACAATAACCGTCTCAGCTTGAAGGAGGTCACACGTGAGAAGAGAGGGTAAGAGTAGGGAGAAAAGTTTCTCCCCTGAGACAAAGATCCCTATACATTTTTCTGGATTTCTACAGGACCCAAACAACAAAGCAGGGCTGTTTGCACTGCTGACGGAAGATGTAACTGCCTGTGATTACCCAGCAGGAAAATAAGTCTATACTACCTCTGGACAATCAGTTGTGTACACATTCAACAGCTAGCTAATGCTAGCATCCGTTCACGAGGAGACTGACACTGGAATATGTTTTCATGTTGCCATTGCTGTGTAAAAGGGTGCAAATATTAATGTAATCAGCACAGTGGACACAGTTTTGTTGTAATCCTGGTGGATATATTCTTTGATTTGAAAAAGCGACATCTTTCTGAAAAGCTCTGGATTGCCTTTTGAAAAGGAAAGAACTTCAGGTACTATCATATCAGCTTCATCTGCCTTGAATTTTATCAAGAAAAGTTCAATGTATTCCCTTTGATCTATGTCTTTACTCGGTCTGATAAAACATCACAGTTCAATGGCAGGGCAAAAAGTCATCTTGGGAAGCATGAAAGACATTTTCCTCAGCCACTGAAGGTTTCAAGTTCTCTGCACAGCATCCCTCTGAACAATTGACGGTAAATTCACCTAGCTTCAACGTCATAGAGCAATTCACTTGCATTCTGTATGACAGCTCAACACGATGTAGAAACGTCAATGTCCTGAGGAAGGAACTCTTTCCACGCAAGGTGTAACTGATGCAAAACCTTCAACTAACACACTCGGCTCTTATGGAACGTGTAAAGTGGAGGGCATACCAAGCTAGCATCTGGCTGACAAGCTTTCAAACTGAGCAGAATATTCCCTATTCAGATGCATTTGGCTGGACTAAGAAGGACAGCAGGTGGAGAAATTCTTTGACGACCTTATCTGAGTTGCCGCAAAAAGCTGCAGGCAACTCATCAAGTATGGCTGTAGAGCTGCAACACTGTCCTCAAAGAGATGTATGTGCAGGAGTACAGGATTTCAGTGTATGGCACTCTGCCATTGCGGAGGAAAATGTACTCAGTGAATGGGAGTCTGCCAAATCTAGCAAACCGTTATAATGCTGAAGACACAACTGGGAGTCTGTCAAATCTACAAACCGTTCTAATGCTGAAAATGCAATGGACGGTTTGTCACATCTAGCAAACCGTTATAATGCTGAAGACACAACTGGGAGTCTGTCAAATCTACAAACCGTTCTAATGCTGAAAATGCAATGGACGGTTTGTCACATCTAGCAAACTGTTATAATGCCGAAGACACAACTGGGAGTCTGTCAAATCTAGAAAACCGTTATAATGCTGAAGATGCAACGTAGGGTTTGTCAAATTTAGCAAACTATTTTAATACTGAAGATACAAATGAGTGTCTGTCCAATCTATCAAAGCTTTCTGACGCTGAAGATACAACTTGCAGTCTGCCAAATCTAGCAAACTATTTTAATACTGAAGATGCATATGAATGTCTGTCAAATCTAATAAACCGTTCTAATGCTGAAGATGCAACTGAAAGTTTGTCAAATGTAAAAAATGTGCAACACCAACAGGAAATCATAAAGTACAATACACACTAAACATTGTATCTTGGTATTACATACACACACACACACACACACACACACACACATATATATATATTTCAATACAGACATTTTCTACAAAATCAACGTTTTATAAAATAGTGCTTAGCATGCTTGAGAAAACTACATACACCACATAGCAGTCCTGTTTTGTTTTGTTTTTTCGTTTTGTTATTCGACGGTGCTGGCCAAATAGATCTAATTGATATCAAAGATAACAGAAAGAATCTGAAATAATATAATCCCTTTGAAATAATTATCTTAAGAACACTGACACATTAGTCCTTAATGTTACAGCAGTAAGTTACTTCTCCTATGGTTTAGCCCCCCAGTGGCACAGCGGACTTACAATGCTAGAAACCGGGTTTCGATACCCGTGGTGGGCACAGCACAGATAGCCCATTATGTAGCTTTGTGCTTAACTTCAAACAACAACAAACAACCTATGGTTATAAAAACATTTTAATTTGATTTAAAAGTGTGTTTTCTCCCAATTATTTCATTCCAAACCGAGGGTCTGAAGGGCCATTACAGAGATATAATGAAATTGGCAATTGATAGTACATAATGAATGTGTAAGTGTATCAAAAGAAGAAGACAGGCGTGTGGACGATGCGATGATTTGGAAAGGAAATTTCTTTGTTTTTCAAAGACAGAACAAATAGGCGAAAATTAGAAAGTAACAAGTACCATTCAGCTATTTTGATATAGATAACTGCATAAATTTGGCATTTAGGATATCCACATGGTTAAGATAATCAAATGGACTTAACGTAGAAGTTTAAGAAATTATCTGCTGGTGGCACTAGTTTCTTGGAATACGATCAGGTGGACACAAGAGCAGTGTCATCGATATATTGCTATAATTGAACATGATGGATCGATTTAGGCATAAACATAAAGAACATACAGAAGAGGTTATAGAACAGAGCCTTGAGGAACATCAGCAGAAAGGTTGAAGGATCGAGAATGAGTCCTCTCATAAGAAATAGCTGCACATTTCCCACATATAAATGAGTTTCTAATTCGGATGTAGGCAAGTAATAGTGTTCAAAATCCAAAAGTAACGTAAAAGAAGGCTTTTTAGTATTATAATGATTGGGAATAAAGTCTGATAATTTTAGAAGTTGAT